GTGATAAAACTTTATAACTTTAAAACGGAGTGTTTGCCATTACACATACATATTACACATTACAAAAGTTCAATCAAAGCCAAAAGAAACACTAAAATTAAGTAAGTATCATACTTTTTACCTTATCCAGTAATTACAAAAACAAAGTTTATAATAAACAGTCTATAAATTAAATGTTTTATGAAAGAGACTGAATGAAACGAGCTCTGAAATGAGCGGTGCTGCAAGATGGCTCCGTTAAATATTTGGTTTATTTCGAAAAGTATTACAAGCTGCTTCAGTCATATATCACTTAAAGCAGTGGCTGCAACAAAAGTAAATAGAAACAACTCACGTTTAGCAACCGATTTTTCACCTGTTAACGGCATGAATTCCGGGCCATACGAAATAAAAGAATCTCTCCACGAATATTTCACTTGGGCTATACTGAAACGGAAAATTACAGGAACAACACAATAAATTGATAGATATTTACAAACGATACATCATTCGAATTAACCCAGGAAATATTATAATAATTGTTATTCGAGTTGAAAATTCGATGGTAGCTCGTGGAACTTTATTACTGCATTCCTTTGTCGACGCCGAATCATTGCAACATAATTTAATTACACGGCTAATTAGTTCTCGAACAAGTTATTCGTTGGATATGTTTAACGCAGAACTCGGGCTAAATGATAATGCGTTATAGGTAGGTACTTGCTGCTTATGCATGCATTATTGTCCGTATTTAAGCGGCGAACACAAAGCGAACATTGTAAATATTCTCATAATGAACTCGTACAATAAATACAGGTGTTTGAAACGAATTTACGGACGCAATTTCCAGCGAAATTAAATTAAAATTATTTACACTGCGTTTCCTAGGGAGGATGTAAATTAGTATGTTATAATTCCTGTTTGGGTATGTTGTTTCAGATTTTAAATAAGTTTGTTTAATTAAGGAATTTGCTATTTTTTGTTTTATTAACCAACTGTTGAGAAAATTATCCAGTGGTAGTAGTAGGAGTTATATATAAAAAGTCTTCATAGAGGAAGTCAGAAAATTGTGAATATTTTTAAGTAATAGGCTTAAGAAAGGGAGGAAACTAATTGAATTAAATTTGTAAGATTTGGTTACATATTACATAAATAGAAATCATTATTGTTTAAATAAATAGAAATTAGGATTTGAAACTAGTCTATAACAAGATTTCATTACATCATTTGATATACCTAACTCATCCTGAATACTTAGTTTTCTCAATTAACTTCTGCGTTACACGTTTGATTGCTACATTGTTTTTCGCTTCGGAATTAACTCAGATTTAATAACACTCCTTCTACTTAACACGCATTCGAAACAGTAACGTCGTTACATCGGAACACCGAATCGTTGTAATTATTATCGAGTTATGTATTCGCTGTAGGTCCCTTGAATAAGGTGATTACCCCAGTTCGCGCTGTTCGTCCCCCCGAAGCTACCTCGTAACGATGAATACTAAGATTTCCCGAACCGGTCGCGAATTTACACAATTTCCGAATTCCAACTGCACGACGAACGACCAGGTTTCGCTTCCACCCACGGACGAAATTGTTCCGAAATTTAATGAATCGAAATTTAATACGTTATCGATTAAAATACCGGAGAATCATTAGAAAATTTTAATACCATTTATACTCATAACAACCACTGTTCATTCAATTACATCAATTTCCGGAACTACTATATACCTAACATATTCAAACACCAATTTGGTATATTTTCTTTACATTCATCGATTATAATTAAATGTTATTTGGTCTAAAAATAAGCAGCAACTCATCAGATCATTCATTTAAAACAACAGTTCGCAATATCTGGGAAAGCGGGGAATTCGAGCGCCTATTCGATTTAATTTAGCGCCCGACCCTCGTATCGTCGCTCCAGAAACGATCTAATTCAACGGTGAAAGCAAGCAAGGTGAAAATGTCAAGTAAATATAGAGAAGCTCTAAATGAAACTGCGACACTTCCAGAGTATTTTATTGAGGTCCTCGAAAGAAGGATTTCGATGGGCGATTTTTTAGTTGGGGCGCGAAATTGGATGGAGCCCAGGTCAGGTGTAGCATCGCAAGGATTTTTCCGAAAGGGGACCAGAGACATGTCTCGTCCTGCTTGAAATATATAGGACATATTTAAATGTAGAGATTTATGGCGGTAGTAAAGTGATAACATTTGGTTTTATTCTGATTCTTTTGGATTTTCCCGTATAGTGTGAAATGTTCTTAGTGGAATTAGGTAGAAGAGAATATAGGAGATAATATCTAAAATTGGATTTCTTATATACTAAAAGAGTGAATTGAAGCATTAGTATTTGGATTGAGAAAAATTAGGTACAAGAAAAATGCATTCTGTAAGAAATTTTAGTATCTACCATTAACAATGAAAGTTAGCTGAGTAAATTGCAACTAAATGCATGTAAGGAAAGGAAAATCGGATCGAAAATTTAATAGGCGCCTATTTCACTTGATTTTACGGCAGTTCGAAACAAGGAAAATCTAGGCTGGACCAATCGAACGTTGGGCTTTTCCCAAGGACCCTCGCGGGGACTTTTCTCCGAAGGCTTTATGCCCGCACTGACGCCGCTCCGATCCCTTCGCATCCACCTAGCTTCGCGTAACAACCGAAACCAAATGAAGCGCGAAAACATTAGAATTTTATGAGGAGAGGGATCAAAAAGTTGGAAAAAAGTTTCCGCGAGAAGGATTTATACGGCGCGAAGAGCGCTCGACGTTTTCGAAACGGAAAATCGCCCCGAGTTAAGTGGATCGGTATGATTGGAGTTTCATCGGAAGTTGGCTACTGTGCAGCGGCTGGAAAGTTTGTATTTGACTTTTTTTCACCGTGTAAGCTACCTTATGTAACGTTGTTTGAGTTACCAATTTAGAAGGATTTTTTTTCACAACTCATCTTTGCGAAATTGTCGTTCCAATATGTAACGTTACACGTTAAGTAAATTTATTAATAACAATATTTTAAGTAATAACAGACTTAAGCCACTTACACTAGTATTAATAAAGTTATCGACCAATTCGTTACAAAGCAGAATTGTACAATAATTTTAAAAGGTATCATTACAATTTACTGACCTTAAAATAAATGGTTACATCATTCATTTTGAGGAAGATAAACTATCGAATATACCTAGGTAATTAGATTACAAAAAATATCGAATTAAGTTAACTTTGAGAAAACCAAATTGGGGAAACCTTGGATTATAATAGCACACTGGAGGAATCTTCATCGCCCTTGGAGCATCGCTTCAAGCAACAAAAGATTTTTGCAGTAATTTCCAATAGTCAATTTACACTATTTAAACGAGTAAATTAGGTGGAATAAAATCATATCAATTTACCCACTGTAAATTCTCAGTTACCTTAATTCCGTCGCAATAACAACTATCATGATTCGCTAATATTGGCAGCAAATTTAACGAAAAACCTGCAGAACTCCATCTACTCTGAGTTTCCCATTCAATATTTATCTTCGCGAATTCGTAATAACGGCTCCGGGCACTTACGTCGTTCATTGTACAGAGCAGAGAATCCACATGTATCACGTTAAAATTAATAATCCAAATATTGAAATTAACAATTCGATTGCAACCTATATTACCGATCGCAGACGTGGTTACAAAATAAACATGTATAGAGCAGCGAGGACACGGACGCGGAGAGTTCTGTAAACACCCGGATGCGATTATTTATCCACTCTCTGGATATCTATCTCATGGATACTTACGCGATTGCGATACACGCTTGTCATTTTCGCATGAACTGTATCAATTTCATGTGAACGACGCAGAGACGAGTCGAGTCGAATGTTATGGTTATTGCAGGTTAATAACCAAAGTGAATATTATTGTGAGGGAGCTTTATGTTTTGCTCTATGGGAAGATTTTAATTCCAGGAGGAATGTTTGCATGTATTTAGGCATTTTGTAGTTTAAAAGCGAGAAATCCGTTTCGTACTGTGTAATTGCATTAAAGACTTATCGAACCTCTAGAGAGTGGAACGGGAATTTAACTAGTTCGACTTTGATTGAATGGCGGGGCTTCTCAATATTTACCGGCGGTCTCCAGGGCTCAGACCTAATTGGATTACTTAATGGAAGCCAAAATATGCTGATTATTCGTAGATCGAACGATCGCTGTGATTGAAAAATAGATTTATTCAAAAAGAATGAGTGCCGTTGGGATGACAGGGGAAAAATTGGTATAGGATAGTCAATTTCAAATTATTTTTTTTAATTTCTGTGTTTCAATGGTTGTGATTTAATTTATTATAATTGTTTCATGCTTCAGATAACAAAACCTCGTCTTTATGAATGCAGAAAATACTACAATACTGAGTAGTCATTGTCACTAACGAGGACAAACTAGCAAGGAAAAAACTAGGACAAAAAATACCCAATATTTATAAACTATCCCACACAAATTCATGAGGAAATTTCTATAGAAACATAAATTTCAATTTCAATACAACCTGTTTAGCAAAAATCATTTTGCACAACATTTTAAGAAAATTTTGTCATTACAAAATTGCAATACCGGACCCCTCCTGTATACCTACCATTGTTTATCCAATTATCCACGTCGATTGTTATCGAACTGAACTCTCGCTAATTTATTTCATGAATATTTTTTTCGGCGTTCTTTCCATTCTCAACATAATTTTTTCCCATTCAAGGTTACCACACCACATGCAATGACCTGGCTATATCTGACATGTCTTTGGCACAGGAAACACGCTGTATAACCCTACATACAATACCGTGGACGAGCAATCCGCTATATTTCACCACGAACGAGGAAAATTAGCCATTTAATTTCGGTAGTTCGATCCGCAGAGAACGCACAAATGGATCTTACATTTTGAGTTTGCCCGTCCAACATTCGATTCGTTGAAACCCGGCGAAATTTTCTTCGGGTGCACGTTGTTTTGTGATTGTGATTTCCATTGATCTCGTTGGTTTTTAAAATGTCAAGATATTTTAAGGTAAGTTTTCATTACACTGTATAAACGAACTATTATTACATATAATTTCCCTTCGCACTTACCTACAACTTATATTGACGTGAAATGTAAAGAGGCATAAGAAGAATCTGGAAAGAATATCTGCTAAGGAAAATCTCTAAAGCTAAAATAAATCTGAAAGGAAATCTGCTATATTATTTGCATGTTTAATTTATCATGTTCATTATATCAATTTACCAGTGCAAAATTCTATAGATGATAACAATTTTAATTAAATTGGTTTAGTCCTGTTTTACTCGTACTTTAGGTATTTCAAATTAAACGAATTTAGATGAGTATTAATATCGTCCTCTCTCTCTCTCTCTCGTTTAATTAAAACTTAATTAAGTAACTGATACTGATTTTTTGTGTAATAAAGTACGTACTTCAAGGCAAATCAGCCGTGTGTAATTTGCGGGCCTCTGTTGGACTCAATACTTCAAATTTTTTCATAACGTCGGTTTTAATAAAGTCGTTGGAATTTTTTTATAAAAGAGAGTTTGATATTGAAATGTACTGGGCAAAGCTGAATTTTTTATTACTTTTTTGAGCTTCCCTTAGGGTTTTTATGTTGATTTTAAAACTTCCAGATCTCCGTTGTCTTCGCACTGCGTAATTTTGCTGTTTACGGATAATTTAAATCCCAATAAAGGGTATATTTTTGGTCCTTTTTTAAATATACAATAAGGTGAAATATCACCTAATTGAGGTAGTAGATGTGGAATTTATTAGCCACTAATTTTTATTTCAACCAGCTTAACTTCTAGCGAAGTTGGAAATGTTTTTATTTTGAATATTCAAAGAGCTTTTTCCTAAAAGTCGTTTGTCCTTCGTGAAATTATTAAATCCCGTTGTATTCGACAAAAAGCGTAAAGGTTGTTCGTTTTCGCATTTAAAAGATTTTCCAAAGCAAACAAATGATTATACTGTTGCTGAAATTCATGAACAAACAATTTGTTTTGTATTTATTATAATAAAAACGCCCACGGGAAATTGTGTTACACTTTTACGGGGGTTAAATTCAAAGTTAACTTTTGCTTATCATTTATTCACACAACTTAATATCAAAATAATTAAACAAAAACACGTTTGTTTTCCTCTTTTCCAGCTATTACACATCAGCACCGCCTGCATTCTGCTTCTGATAATTCAACAAACCAGTACCACTTTGTTAAACGAAGTACTTATACCTGATGTGAACAATGTACCGTATTCACCACTACAACGCGTCGCAAGAGATGCAAAGTATTCTAGAGAAAAGTACGCAAGGTACGCTACAGATAGTACCGACAAAAATTTGAAGCCTGATGATACAGCGGATAGAGACAGCGGTACTAATCCCCTCGGAAAAAGGTGCATAAGCTGCGTCTCCGCCGTGCTGGATAAATACCCCTACAACGATAGGAACCAGTACCAAGACAGGAACCGGTACAACTACGATGACTACAGAAGGAACCGCGACTACGATTACGACGACAGGGACAGGTACAACGACAGAGACCGCACCTACGACAGGTAAAAACACCAGTACTTATCTTCATCATCAATCACCCGTGCAAATTCGTTTCGTTCAAGGTACGACCGGTACTACCCGGAGCGTAACCAATACAACAGAGGCCGCGACAGATACGGCGACCGCGACCGGTACTACGACCCCTACGACTACGACAGGAGCTACGAACCGTACGACAGGGGTTACGACCGGTACGGGGCCCGCGACCGGACGTACTTCGATCCGTACGAGCGGTACGACCGCGACCGTTTGTACAACGACAGGGGCATCGGCTACGACAATCGAGGCTACGACTACAAAGGGTACGACAACAGGTACGACACGTACCCTTACAGGTCCTCCGACAGCCGGTACCCGCCTGAAAGGGACTACGGTACCACCGGGTACGCCAACAAATGGAATTACAGAGATAATAGAGATGATTATTACAACAGAGATAGGTAAGTTATATGGTTATTAATTACGGTGTTGGATAATAATGGGAATTATTAGGGTAAATTTATTTTAAGCGAGGACTTTAGGGTTGTTGTTTCATGATGAAACACTTTGTGTATCCCTCGTATCGCGTTTCTCACAACGGATTGCAGTGAATACAAAAGCATTAAAAAAAGCTTACTTTTACATTAATCGACGATTCATTCATCCCTTACTCGATTTTTTATCCTTATTTTTCGTAGACTCGACGATAAGGATCGCTATATCGGAGCGGGGCAAACGGCGTGTAGAAAGAAGCAGAACTCTAATTAAAATGATAAAAGCTTCCATCGAGTTGTTAATTTTAAAAACGTATATTTTCGTAAGCAAAAGCAAAGGTTTCGTTTACACGGGGATAACGCGAAACACGAGAAGGGTTCGTTAAGAGTCCCGGTTTTTTTTTGATGAAATTAAAACATTTACTAATGTAAATCTTTATAAGGTAACTAAATGCAACGTTGTTAGATGAAAAGATTCGCCATAACGGAGTAATTAAGCGCAGAATGTGGATTCCAAAGAAACTCGTGCGTGATAATAATTTTATATATTAAAGACAATGCGACGCGCAGATTAAAAAAAAGATCTTTTGTCTTCCGCCTTTTGTGCCAAAGGGTTGGTTGTTGGCTCGACACAAAGGTGCCGGCCGGTCCTTCTAAATTATAAATAAGCCATCGGCTCTAGAAATTGCACCGCAAAACAATATATCACCGCGAAAGCTCTTACATCGCTCCGGTTTAATCCGGGCCATGGGCGGAGAAACCCCATCTTTTTGAGCGAAAAGCGAACAAAAGCGCCGGGCGATGAATCTGTATCAAAACAAGGAAATCCAGATTTAATTATATTACATACAGTGTGAAAATTAAAAAAAACTCCCAATTACTGGGGCATTGTGAGTAGGCATTGCAGGAAGCACTTTAATTCTCTCTATATGCATTCTAAAAACTAGAATTTTGTGATAATACAGGATTACTCTACTAAAATATTCTTTTAACTTAACATTATTAATTTAAAGAGTTTATAAATAATGAAATAAGATTTCAATTAAACGATTCAATAAAAGATAATACAATCAGATTGGAATACGAATTTGGGGATCCTTTTGAAATCGCTGCCCATTTTAATTAATTGTCGAATAAACAACATTCCTGCAATCTCGAACGAATTTCGAATCTTTAGTGACAAATTTACTTTCTATATCGGATTTTCCGCTCAGATTTTGTTCTCCATTTAGATTGTCTTCCTTGGGGCGACTGATTTGATTGGATGATATTAATGCAATTAAATAAATTAAGGGAAAAGTAAAGTCGAATTCGTTCGATAGGCTCTTTTAATTTATATTAAATGAAGAAATATATTTGGGGAAATTTACGGGGCGAATAAATAGTTGGACGATAATCCGCGAATCGCTTAAAAATGCAAACCGACCGATATATTCCAGGAAAGCAGACTTTTTCTATTAAAAATCGACTTTAAATTCGCAGCTTGGGTAGAACAAATGCGTTTAGGGGCAAAAAGGACATTCTAAGTTGTAAATTAAGCGACTGAAATGAAAGAATGTAGTGGAACAACCGACGCGGGCGTAGAATATGTTAAAAAGAAAAGGTTTCCGTAACGAGATAAAGGCAATTATAAAGCTACTCATAGAATCAAAATGTTGGAAAATTTTGAGACAACTTATATGTACTTATACCGGTGAATTTATTTGAATAGCACTTATGTAACAAATACGTTTAATTTTATTAGCGGGAGTTGATGAAGATGAGTTGTTTTGAAGCAGAGGAATGATGCGTAAAATAATATCCCAATATTGCGACGACGACTATTCGTGGCTTTTACTGTGGATTTGTCGCAAATTTACAACATTGTCATCAGCAACACTTTGACTAAATTGTTGACTAAGTCATTGCATTTACAGTGCCAAGGAATTAGCAAAGCAAAATTTAGTGCTGGAGTTCCTCAAATACCAGCAGAATAATGAAAAATAGAAAAGTGGTCTTAGAAATAAAGAAAAAGATCTCAATACCAATCGATAATGAAATAAATGTATTTTGTTTCAATAATATGGTGCATTGTTGGGTGCAAAATTAATGAGAAAAATGTTACAAATAATATAGAACTAACAAAATTCTTACACAATCACATTATCATTTTTAAATTTCCTTGATAATTCTATAGCCCCTTATTCTGTAAATTCTCGGAGATCATCTACTCACATGTGCCATTAAACATTCATTACCTTCATGAATGAAGGAAAAGTGAGGTAGAATGTCGAACCGCTTCTGAATGTCGGTTAATTTTCCTTAATTCGAGAAGCTTACAAATGTTTAATTCGATTTGCGAAAATGTAGCACGCTAGGTTAGGCATGCCCCCACCGCATTATTCCAATTTCCTCTTGTTTTTTCTACCAATGATGTCGAGCAAAATACGCCAATTATCTTAGATAACTCTACCAGTGTTTATATAATAATATATTTTTGTTCTATTTTATTTTAACATAGGCATCTTTGAACATTCGGTAGGTATATGAAAAATGTATTTTAATTATTTTGAAAATATATACGTGGAAACATTACCTAGAAAAAAATGTATTATAAAACAAATAAGAAAAATTAGTTCATTAAATTAAATAATAATGATATCACTGTTTTCTATCGAAATGTCGATATTATCTTGACTAGAAGCGGTCGCTGTCTTATCGGGAGAAGTTTCCTCCAATGTTTCGCTAATGGAAAAACTCGTCGATTGGGTGCTTTCCTTCTCTGTACAATGACTGCTCGAATAGACGTTGCCGCTGGTCGACGCACTGGCGGTTTCCTTCGCAGAGGAAGACTTGCTGGTTTTAGTAGTGGCCGCGCTAGAGGTCTTTTGTAGCACTTTCAGGTCCAGAACTTTGCTCTTTTTCGGCCGGCTATCGCTATAACTGCAGTGCGGCCGATCGTAGGGACACCTCCTGCTCCGCTGGCTGTGATTGTATAGGGACTTGCACTTCCTGGCGTACAGTAATTTGTCCACGGCGTAGAAAAAATTGTTGTTGCAAAGGCAAAGGACGGTGTGCAATGTAGCAGGATGTGTATCTGAAAAGTGATTTTGGGAAAGTTTAAGGATTTTTATTATTAGATTGGATGTGATATTTTTGATTATTAAGTGTTGATGTAATTTGAAACTGAATGATACATTCTTTCCTTCATTTCATATAGATTATTAAGAATAATCATTCCAAAAACCTTTTTTTATTAACAAATAACTACAACAGATATTAATAAACATTTACCTACTTTTAACAATGAAATTGTATGTAGTAAATCGAATTTGTGATTAACATTATCAAAATTTTGATAGTTAATTAAAAATCATACACTTCTTAAAATTCATCAATTTCACTTTCTGATTTGAGAATTACGCGTCGAGAAAATTTATTTAGGCGAGTTTTCTTACCTGGAAAAAGTTGCATTAATCTCAAAAAGTAGAAGAACAGGTTGCAAGATTGCTGTATCGACGGGCAGGATTTATCGTTCGATTTTTCCGAGCGCGCCGTCGGTTCATCTTTTTCAGTTGTAGGAGGATAGGGTTGGATCGTGTTCCAAGGGCAAGAGATCGGTTGTTTACAAAATAATTTTTGTTCCTTTTCCGTCGTCGACTTACTGGTTCCCGGTTCCATTCGATCACTTTATTTATTTAACTGTCGCTGTGTTTCGCATTGATATGAGCAACAATTTTTCTTATTTGTTTTGGCATTTGACAGAGAAAGTTGACAAAGAATTGGTAATTCGTTAAGGTGATTGTATATGGACTTTGATTTTCGACGGAACACTTTAATAATACATTTTTTGAACAATGATATAAACACATTTATTTCTTTTTTGATTGAATCACACGGTTTAAAGTGTAAAGAGAATACTCAATAAAGAAAATTGGAATAAATACTGACAAAATTTACCATAGATTTAATTTAAGACAAATTTTTATATCACCTATTTACTCTATTATTATTGGATAACTTAATTGGGTATCTGTAAATCCATATTAAATTTAATTCGTTATTTCCATTATACCCATTAATGATTTAGAGGTTGCATTAACAGGTAACGTATATTGTGAATTTTATGAATCATAATATTACCATATACATATACATACTTATTTTTTGTTCTACCTATATTTTCGGCGACTGTAAATAATAAATGTAAATATATGTATGTACGTCTATTAATTAGAATTTCATATTTTAAATAAAACTGACCGCTGCTGGAAATAATAAAAACCTTTTGTTGTGTATACAATATAATTATAATTAAAAATATATTTTATGTGTAATAATTCAGAAAAAATCAATTTGGTATACAGTATGCTCTTTTCATGTGAAAGCACGAAAAATATGTATGTATATCATTGTAAAAAAGCTATATTTTCATTTGGCTCTTGAATTATAAAAATTAATCAATATAGTTGAATGCAAATTTCAGACCGCAACATGGTCGTTTCTATGAGTTGAACAAAGAAAGATTAATAAAATAACAGTTGTCAGAGTGAAAAGTTGCAATGACACAAATATCACTCTGTCTTTATCGCACCTATAGCCTATATAACCTATGTTGCGATCTGGAATGAAGCACAGTGTATAAAGAAAAAGAAATATTGATATTGTGGGATTGCAACTTTCTCAATCTATAACCACTGTTATTTTAATAATATTTCTTTGTTCAACTCATATAATTGGCAAATAATTTTTAAAATGACACATTACAATTCACCATGACTACATTTTTTAACTCTTCTCCCAATATATCTTCTCTTAAATTAATACATATATTTCTTATAATTTATTAGTGTACTGTTCAACACATTATCCCTATGTACTACATATTTGAAATCTTTCGGTCAGTTCATAATTAGGTTAGTTGTTTGTACGAATAGCTAATTCGTAAAATGGAATAACGACGGGTCAATAACGCCCAGAGCAACAAGTTGTAAGGTTGGATTATTATGTACGGTTCAAGCGAAGACCTATAAATATTTCACAGTCCTTGTTCCAGTAATTCCCTTCCTTTCGTTCATTCCGCGCTCTCGCTCATTTTCCGATTTGATCCCACACAAATCATCGCCTCACTTCATACGAGTACGTAGATATTTTACATTTTTATATAAAATTAGGGGTTTAATTTTTACTTGAACCATGTTTAACCTTCTCGGTTTAATAACAACTGGTATTTGCATTTCGAACAATGAAAAATAACTGAAATTTCCTCTTTGTTACTCAATATATGGGCACACTGGATGCCTAAATAGTTAAATTAGCGGGGCAAACAACGCGTAGTAAAAATTGGTTTGCGTACACAAGTGCAATTGTCAGGTTTGCCGTACGGTTGCATGAGTTTTCAGTTGCTTTGAAATCAATTTTACAATTTGAACATGTGCCATTATTGCATTCTGGTTTACGGACCTTTTCAAATTCGTATCAGACTTTATTAGCGAACTTTATTTCTTTATTAATGAAGTTGCTGGGGATCGACATACTTCATTGTTACCTTTTTTAATTTTTCAATTTTAAATTATAGTAGATACCTATATGACAAACAAACACATTTTGTCGAACATTCTATTTTTAACTAAACAGTATTTTATTGCCCATTCCGCCAATTGCACAAATACTTATGTAACATATTGTGCTAAATGTTGAAAGCGCAAGAATTCGATATACTCATGTTTGTGATCTCTTCTGCCGGCGTTTTCCGGTCATTTTTGTCGACGGGAAACCGTAAATTTCACGTGCTGATTGATGCAATGTCGATCTGTCGATCTGATAATTTTTTAGATATTCAAAATTGATGTAGGTATCGATTGTTTTGAAGTGAAAGTACGAATCATGTGACCTCTAGATTTCAGGATAATGCAACCTTGTTGTCACAACTTTTTTCATCAATCTATCACAGATTGTTAAGAATTCAGAGAAAATTAAGGGTCAGAAAAATAATGATTTAAATATACGAAAAAAAGTATTAAAAATTTACAAACAAGAGTCAATTTTTTTTTAATTCTAGGTTTTGATACAGTTTAGTATTGATGTAATTGATTATTAATTTATCTATATCTATTTTGAATGTAGGCCAAATACAATAAAAAGTTATTTATTGTGATATGATGATAATGTACTAGATATTCATACATACGTACCTTTGTATAGCTAATAAATGACAAAAATAATTAGGGAATAAATTAGCGTTGCGAATATCCTGTAATACACAAACGGGAAGTTTTGGTCAAATTTCTGTTTAAAATTATCATTTTCTAAATGTTGGATAAACATGTTATTAATTTTAGAGTTTTATCATTTTTATTACAAAAAATCTGTTACATAACGATAAAAAATGTGTTTGCATATTATTAAATATAAATTAATCTCATTAAAAATAATATTCGCATAATTATTGTTATTTCAATTCTGTGGGAAAAACTCGCAAAAAAAAATCAATTTAAAATTATTTACCTAATCACATCTAACCAAAATACAACACAAATGATTTTTTATACAGGGTGATACTCGAAAGTTTTTACTACGAATATATCAAACCGTTTTTTTATGTGCATTTTAGTACCTACCTTTTCTCACAATAGCGTTTATTACAGGTATCCAGGATATCGCCCACTTAATAAGGACCCTGTGAGGGATTCCACGAGAGATCCTGTTAGAGACCCTTACAATGACACGTACAGACCGACGAGTTATCTCTACGGAAGGCCTTCTTCAACTACACTCAAACCTCCAACCCCTGAAGAATCCAATACACAGGCTCCTCAAGGAAATGCAGGGTAGAAATAACTAAAGAATGTGATTTGATACTGTATTCTACTCGTGTCGAAGCAACTTTTTTTAGTAGGTAGGTAAGTTTCATTCCATCTTCATCAGTATAGAAATAATTTTAATTGGGACACTACGCCAAAGTAAGCTGTATTTAGTCTTATTTATTTCTTTATTTTTATATTATTCACGCATTTTCTTTAATTAATCTGAAATTTTTTATGCACTTAGTTTGAAGTGAGTTTAGGATTATATTCACATTTTTAAATTTCTATTGTGTAGGTCAATTTAAGAGTAGTAAATACCGAGTAGAAAATGTAAATAATAGGTATTATTCAGGCAATTTTGAATTCAAATGGGTAAAATTGTATTTTATGGACCACATATTTCACTGCCGCTTCGTGTAAAATATTTTTTACTACCTTATATTTTATACGTAAAATTATTTTTATACTTTTAACCAATTATTGACAATTTATCTCGATATATATTTCAAATTGTAATTGATTGTAAAAAATCTTTTAAAAATACTAATTATATAACAAAAAAAAATAATCTTCTCCAAATCTCCCATGCATTCCCGATTGAAGAGCCATCCAGTCCAATCCGACTTCCCGTTTGCCAGAGCCGAATTAAAATTTCAGAAGGGCAAAAAGGATTAGTTTAAATAAGTGATGTCTCAGTTTCACCGAGAATATTCATGGAGAAATGTGGACCCGCAGACGCTCACCTACTTCGAATTCTTGATGAATAATTAATGTTAATTTAGTAATCCTTTTTTTTCCGTTCCCTTATTCAATGAGCGCGTTGAAGATAACGACACGTTGTTACGCGGAAAAAATGATGTTGAAGTTTGAAATTTTAATACTGCTCTTAGAGGATCAAGAGAAGCTTTCGAAATGTTGCCTAGTTAAGTCGCTGAAGTTCTTTATTTAATTAATTAGTTTTACATGCAGAGAGTTCCTCGTTTTAGTTTATACGGTGTTATTTAATTAGAAAATAGGGTAGAATATTTGGCTATTGACTTACCTTGAATATAGAAATAGTGTAACAATAAAAATGTTTAAGGGAATTTAAATTACTGAATATATATTTAATATTTATTTAAAAATGGGTTCACATTACAAGTTTTATAAAAAAAAAACAGTTGAAAATTTCATAAAAAATTAAACATTGGTTTAATTGAATTGCATAATAAACGATTCTAGTACGCGTAACAAATATCTGTAAAATTTAATTTAAATAAAATTACATTATCAACATAAGCGTATCTGGACAAATACCATGTATATCATATATAGTATGCTGGAGATTCGATGTTTCGAGTATAATAGTCCCTCTTCGGGCAATAACTAATCAATTATACAACAACAAATAAAATCGTCAATTAACAAAACACAACAATAAAAATCACTTTTCAGAATTTCGGCATGTAATTAAATCACACAGGGGATCAGTTTTAATGGTAACTACTAGGTAACACAGGTACGTACTTATGCGGGCGACTGCCGTATTTAGAACAGTTAATTCGCGTTGTTTTCAATTTTTTTCAAACCTCCTTCGTTGACCTTCGTTCAAATTTCCTTCGTTAATGTTAAGCTTGAGCTTTGGACTTCTTGGGTGAAGTTTTCACGTTCTTCAGCTGGTGAGGATTGTACTTCGCCGGGCTACTGTTAGCTGCGATGTCGTCCCTAAACGCCAGGAAGCCCAGTTGAGCGTGCGAAGCCTCGTTCAGAGCCCTGGATCGTATGCACGCCCTGTACTGGTCCGCAGAAAGTTTCTGCCCGCCTGGACTACCCGAGCATACCTTTGAAAAAAATAAAAATAATACTTAAGTAAGCGTATAGCAAAATATGCACACTGTATACTGTAGTTAGGTATTTATATGGAACTTTTAAGAATTTTACGAATTCTGTGGACTATTTTCGTGCAATAAAATTTATTGACCATTTTTCCACGCAGCCCCGACTGTTTCCATCCTCGCTCGGCTATTTATTGGGGAAAAAACAAGAAGGGTTCGAAATCGGGTGAAATACGGATAGTTTTGGAATCGATTTGAGGGATGGTGGACGCTTTTTCGGCAGATATATTAAATTGTATATATCATAACTCGGACGGTAGGTATTAAAGTGCCAGAACTCGGACGCAGAAAGGATACGAGAAGATCGAATTGGACAGGGATTGGTGATTATCGAATATTTATGTTTGGACAAATAGAAGATTCGATGGTATTTTTGAAGTAGAAATATTGTAGCAAAAAGGTTGAAGGAACGTTAATGAAGATACATCTATTCATTTATTCTTCCAGTCTTTTCACAAATGTCAGCACAATTTATGAGATAGAATAAAATTCAAATTTCTTACCTTAGGATGCCAAATGTGGAATATTCCAGGATCTGTAGCCCTTATGACCTTCATACTACTCCTGACGTACTTCCTGTACAACATAACGTCCTCTCCTCCCCATCCGACGATGTCTTCATCGAATCCGCGAACTTTTAGAAAATCAGATCTAAGAATAAAAAAAATTGTTAAATACAAACTTTACAAATATAGCAAAAAACAGATAAATGAATTGAGGAGGAATATGACAAGAGAATTCTTTACCATTTCACATTGTAGAAAATAACATTTTTTACCATCCAGAATTTTTACCTAAGTACATCAAAATTATATTCATATTTATATTTTAACAATTAGCTGTGGGCTACAAACTGTGTTGGTTATGACATTCCTCTGTATGCATACAGAGAATTGCTACAATTTCGGAAAATAATACAGTACATACAATTATTATTAAAGCACGATACAGCTTTCTCTTTACATTCCCGTTTTTCCATTCGTTTGAATTTTGGCGAAACGCAATATTGTTATAAAATATTTGCGATAGGACCGGGCGACATAAAAGCCGGGAAATTCGTAATTCTATAGCATACGGCTGTTTTCGATAGAGAAATAAAACGCGCTTTTCAATATGTATTATACGTTTGTGTATTGCGGTTAAAATTTCATTTACATTCATGTTTTCGGCTTCGCTTTTGTCATTCATTCGGAATGGACGAGCCGGCCCGGTGAACACCGCGTTGATTTAGTTTCCAACCTGAATATTTAATCAAGACATGAAACAAACACCGATGCAATTTTGCAAAGCAATTTTGGCTTATCTATCAGAAATAGTTTAAACAATAAACGGTTTTTATAGAGCACTTTTTAAAAGAAAAAAAAGGCATCAAAAGAAACACCCAAAGCCAAATGGTGAATGGATAAACGATGAAACTTTTTGTGAATAGCTGTGTTTAAATAAATTTCTTCACCTGTACTGGCAAGTCATGCCATATCCGAAATCTCTCCAAAACCCAGTATCTCTGGAAATGACCAGTTGATCGTTCTCCGGCGGAACGTCTCTTCCTTGCAGGGTATACACCACGTGAGGATTGTACAAACTGAACACAACGGGATAGTACACTTTCTTTCCTGGCTCCGTGTTCCACCGACATCGGTCTAGAAATCTCGCACTAAAAACAACGTCTACGTCGCACATGAATAACAGCACATCTTTGGACGGGTCCTTGGATTTGTCCAAGTCCCAGGTGCGCTCGGCGCCGACGCGCAACCCTTTGCCCCTGGAGAACGTCTCGTTTAGGGCCAACAGGCGCAGATTGTTCGAGTTGCCGCCGCTGTTCTTCGTCATCAGTACTCTGGACATGATGGCTCGCGCTTCAGATAGGCCCTCCTCGCCGAAATACACCACCGTTAAATGCACTCTGCGGTCGTTCTTCAGGCCGATCTTGACGAATTTGTCCATGAAGCTTTGGAAAGTGGCGGTCCTGCCGCTCAGAGGCAGTATTATGTGTATCAATTCCTTGTCTTTGGGACTGGACAGGCTTACGGTTTTTATCTGTTGCAGGGGAGCGAACGGTCGCATCACTATCACTTTAGTAAATCCCGAATTCTTAGTCCTAAAATACAACTCGTATTGGGTACCCGTCGTCGGCTCCACCCTGTACAAGCCTTCCAGAAAATCGTCCAGAGTGTATTTGGAGAGTTTCTCGGTGACGTTCTTGTTCAGAACGTCCAATCCCTTCATCAGGGCTTCGAGGAGATCCTTCCTTTTGTAGCCGATGGGCTTCTCGACCACCCTCTTTCCCAATCCTAGATCTATGGGATAAACTCTACTGTATGTGAAGTGATTGAATGGCATCAGTTCGTATTCGTTATTGAGCGGCGTGCCGTGGAAGATCTCCGCTTGCATGATCTGCTTGCGAATGTAATTCGAGCACTCGGCGTTCGTGATTGTGGGATTGGTGGAAGTGTTGAGGATATTGGAAGAACTTTGGTGGCGTGGAGCATGGAGATTGTTCGCTCCACCTGTAACAAAGAGAATTTAATTGATAGATGCAAGTGTACAAATAGTTTTTCTGTAATTTTATAGTGGAAAATTTAGATGCGCTTCTGTGCAAAATGTTTTGCATAAATGAATAAATATTTAATATAACGAAATATTTGTAAAATTACTTATCAAAATTAGTTTCTGTATCATTTACCAAAAGGCATGAAAATTATTTAATATTAACAATAAAAACAATTTAACAAAAGAAATCTCAAATAATAAATGGCCAGTAGCATTTCAACTAATATGCGAAATATTTTTGAGTATGTTATTATGTTCCATTAACTTTCAGAAGGATGAAAGATTTGAAGTGGTAAATTTACTGTACTCTACTTTTTCTGCAACTATGAAAAACCAACCGAGAAAAATATTTTTTATCTGTCTAACTTTTCATGTTATGTTTGAAATTCCTTCTTTTTCCTTTCGAATTACGCCTCTACATACGTCCACTGGCACGACATCCGTTTAAATAATTCGCGATTTCCCTAACGAACCTCCGTCATCATTGAATTAATATACCTGATCGAAATGCCGCAAGAATTCGGGAAAAACGCGACGTCAGAAAAGAGCGAAGTAGAAATTAATTTTACGAAACCGACTGGGGCGAAACGGGCGCACGGCGACC